AAATTTTTTTTTCACTGATATTTTGCTCATGGATAGGTATTGGTACGTAACTAAACGTGATGTGGTTTGTTTTCAGAGAGGCCGCTTCAATTTGGAGAAAATCGAAAAAATATATTTTTACTGTCGGCGACTTCAGAAGAGCCAAAATTTAAGGCGAAATGGGTCGTTCTCAAAATTTCGTTTGCATGCTAAAGGAAGGAAGGGAGATAGAATATTTTCCGATGCGTCAGTTCATAGAGGGTTTTACTTCTAGTTTGGTGGTAAATATTCAACTTAGCAGTAATATGAACAGCGAACAATAATATTTTAGAACTGCTTTATTCTTAACCGAAAGAAATTTATATTTTAGCTGCAAGTCGCGATTAAAATTTTAGGCATGTGCTACACCTTGGTTTACCCTGAGACTCAAGTCATAAGATCTTTAAACATTTTACTAAAACGTACGTAAAAACTGGCTTGGGTAATTTAGTTTGCCCTTCACACGAACTCTCCAAAGTTGAACAAAATTTGGTTGAAATGTGAGACCTAAGTAGCGGTTTGTTGGTGTTTACGACTGCTTGCCGCTACTGCCGAAAACTTAACTCGCATGAACTTAACAGATTTGTGTTTAAAAAAAAAACATTACTGTCTTACCCTTTTCTAGTTGACTTAAAATTTGTCTCGGGCAATTTGCTTCCTGGTTATCCTTGTTTCTTCTTCCCAAAATTATGCTCAACGAACTCGAAGCAGCTAACCTAACTTCACCCAGGAACTTCAGCAGTCGAGCATTTAATCGGAAATATTAGATTCGACCAATCCTTTCTTTTCGATCCAATTTTTACATCGTGTACACTTTAAAAGTTTAAGCTTTCATAAAGTTCAAAATAATTTACAGGTAAACGCTCCAGTCGTCAAGGGCACGTTTGTCTTTAATTATGTTGTAGCGTTGCTGTAGAGTTGCGTGACAGAACAAAACTATTCCCACCGGGAGGGTGTAGAGAAACAACGACGCAAGAAGGGACCTGTTTCAGTTGTTTTCGATTTCTCTTAGAGTGAACATTTTGTGATTCTCTTGCATCCTTTTCTTCAAATTTCGACTGTCCATCAAGCCGTAAATAATTGTTTTTGGTTTTTTGTTTTGTTTTGTTTTGTTTTTAAACAGTGTTCTAGTCTGCGACTGTAGACATGTTCGTAATACCATTTTGCTTGAATTAAAAAGGAAAACAAAACTGGGGTCTTACAAAATTAAAAAATTTTCACAAAATTAAAAACAACTATTGAAAAAAATCTCTTGAGTTGATTTTCCTATGAGATTTTTGCCGTGACTTGAAACTTTCTGGCCCGTCAGAAATTCAGAACTTGTAAAAAGGCGGTTTCCACTGCTGTCTCTGGCAGTCATCATGGACTTGGCTATAGACACTGCATCCGCTTTCTGGCCAGTCGTCTCTCCAATACGGAATTTACTTGTCAAGTAATCTTTTTGCTTTTCTGTAAATCTTGTTCGTCGAACATGACTAGACTTCAGGGCCCATCCCATCGGTAAACACGGATGATTTGTGAGGTTTAGACGCTTTCTAGCTTGTATCTGTGGTATACCACAGAACTGTTCCTGTAGTCTGTCTGCGTAGGCGAGCACTGCTCTGTCAAGAAATGTCTCATTCTCTAAAGCTCGTTCGTGTTTTCCAAGATCCAGATGGTGCTGTAAGGAGGAAAATCTTTGATACGTTTTCACACATCCTTCCTCCGGACAGGAAAAAAGAGGAACAGTCAAGGTGTCACCCACAGGCTCCTCCTCAGTATCTGAACATCTCTGAGAATAAACAGCTGTGTGAGGCTGAGGTCTGGACTTCTCTTTAATGAAGTGTGCATTTGGCATTCTCTCTCCATCACATTTCACAGGATCTGGAACTTGCACCATCTGCGGAGTATTAAGCTCTGAGAGTCATATGCATTTACCAGGTCTTATTCCATACGCCTTCCAAACCCTCAGGCTTCCGTCGTTGTATTAGAAATCAAACTCACACCTGCCATCTTCATATTCAGAGAGGGTTTTTGGTTTTGCAAGGAGCTGCTTAATGTAACATCGACTCCAGGAACACCCCCTGATGACTGAATAGCGTCTACCATTTCCTTGTAAGTCTCGATGTTAGACCTTTAGTTAAGGTGGACTCTCATGTGCGATTTAAGTGACGCAGCCTTTCTGTCACAAGGCCCTTTACCACCCTGTGGGTCCGAGAAGTCCAGGCGTTTCACGGAAACCCCATGACAGCGACTTGCAAAGCTGGCTCCCATTATAGTAGCTCCACAATGGTAGCAGCCAGCATTGTCCTGCCTATAAAAGACAGATTTCAGTTGAGGCAAGTGTGACTTCAGCTCTCCAATGAAATTTTTCATAATTGACAGCACCGCGCAGCTGTCTTGGTTACAGGTTTGGAAAGCGTGTACAAATGTCATCATCTGCAAATCTTTGTTTTGTGCCCGACGAGTAACTACAGTATTGTGCCAGGACATGCCTCTCTTGCGAACCAATCACTTTGGCTTTCCCTGAACTTTCTTGGTAGAAACTTCATGGCCCAGTCCTGTACAAGAAGCACTGAACTTTCATCGAGAGCATTAATCACCTCTAATGGAGCTTCATCCTGATTAACACATCGGAGTAGATGTGCTTTCCATGCCAAGATGTTTTGCTTAGCTTGACCTTCCATAAAGGCCAACTCTTCTCAAGATCGTCGTGTACATCATTCAAAACAGACGCGAGCAACTCACAACGATCGCAGGTTTCTAGATGATCACGTGGACAGGTCATCTGATAATCCTTTTCCTTTGGATCACTCAGGGCGTATGCTCTGCAATGGTCTGGAATGCTGGATTGCTTCGAAACTTGCACCTGCACAGACAATATCCGGTAGCCGTAACTAATCACCTTTTATTTGCCTAAGTCAACACATGAAATAAAATATGCTTCACTAACGAGGAAAAATGCAATTTTATAGCCGTCGAAAAATATTCGAACGTTCTAACCGCGTGACCAGTATCATAACAACCTGAAGGTCGTTTAGAGTGTATCTTCATAAAAACATTTATCAACACGTTACGTAAAGTTTCTGTACGTTTCAACAAAGAAAATACTCATCCCCAAAGCTAGCCTCCCACTTTTTCGCTCAGGCAAACTGGCCATTTCTAAATGCTCCAGAACATTACTCTTTCAAATATGTGGAGTGCTTTCAGTTGCTCAGTGTCTTTCCTCGCACTGAGATAAAATGCACTTTTTAAAGAGTACAAACCTGAGCCAACAGCAAGAAAAACTCCAGTTTCTTGTTATACTGCACAGGAGCCCGCTTTGCTTAAACCTCTATCCGCTTTTGGCCTTTAGCTGATATCCTCGCTATGATGAGACAGTATTGAAGGCACTTTGCACTTGCCCGGAACTTGGCGTGACCATCCAATACCTAGCGATGCTCTATGTGCTGGACGTACTGTTATCTGGTCAATATTTTGGGGAGAGAAGGAGATGGATGCTCTCGCCAGAATCAACTCAACTTTACTATCTATACTGTGAAACGCAAACATCGCCTTGTGGCCGGTTACATCCCGCTGACAGCTAAGTAGTGGAAAACATTCCTTTGCTCTGTTCCTGTCTCTTTTGTCGTGACCACACTGGCCTCCCACAATCGATAGAAATGAACAAGTATTTTCCATAATTCTTAAGAAGCTTGAACCAGTTTTCGTGTTTTCAGTTCACTAAGTTTATATTTAATTTATTGACGCAGATGTCAAAAACTGACTGTGGTAAAATTATATTAACAGCAACACTATATCTTTTTAAAAGTATTTAATCGTTACGATACAAAGAGATATAATGGTCGAAAAGTCTAAGAGGTTTATAAACAATGCTGTTTTTTGCTCTCTCAATAAAACAATCTCTTTTTTCAGTCACCCGGAGCGGTCAGAAGGATTTTGCTCCTTGTCACGCAACGCCACTCCTTATCGGTTTAACTCCTCAATTTATAACTCTGTTGTAACTAATTTAGAGGGTACCAACATTAATCATATTCATTTAAAAAGCACATAAACCTTGTCTCAATTTAACGTTTGTATTGCGATAGCGTATTTAAGAAATACGTCAGGTTTCGGCTAAGAAAAAGGTTATCGTTCCCTTTCAGAAATAGCAAGTCGTTCAATTAAGTTAAATATTCAAATGTCTCATATTTCAACTAAATTTTGTTCAACTTCGGAGAGTTCGTGTGAAGCGCAAACTGAATTACCCAATCCAGTTTTTACGTACGTTTTAGTACAATGTTTAAAGACTTTATGGCTTGAGTCTCAAGGTAAACAAAGGTGTAGCACATGCCTAAAATTTTAATTGCGACTTTCGGCTATATTATAAATTTCTTTGGGTTAGGAATAAAGCAGTTCTAAAATATTATTGTTCGCTGTTCAGATTACGGCCAAATGGAATATTTACCACCAGTCTAGAAGTAAAACCCTCTATAAACTGACACATCAGAAAATGTTATCTCTCTTTCTTCCCTATTGCATGCAAGCCAGTTTTGAGAACGACCCATCTCGCCTTAAATTTTGGCTGTTTTGAAGTCGCCGACGGCAAAAATAGATTTTATCGGTTTTCTCCAAATTAAAGCGGCCTTTCTGAAAACAAACGACATCGTGTTTAGTTACTTACCAATACCTATCCATGGGAAAAATATCAGCGGAAAAAAAATTTTCGGCTCTGGCCGCGATATTTCAGTTTTGCTCGATTCTTATTATAGGCGTTGGCTCTTAATATTTGCGTAGTAACTAAACATGTGAGAGATAAAACCACCAGAAAAGTAAACAAATGGCCAGTCACGATAGCAACGCTTCGCTTTTGGGCCCATCCGCATTAGCAGACAAAACTAAAACTGTCATGACAAAATTAAAGGAAAAAGTTTGTGATGACAAATTTTTGTAACTTCTGTTGCATCCGCCAGTCCGGGCCATATCCATTTCTGGATACTCGATGACGTCACCAATATGGATGTCGTAGTGGGACCTCGAGGAAACCCATTCATTACTTTAATTCGAGCCCTAGCGACTTTGTTTCCAAGGCATATCCCATGAAACCTTGCAAAAGTACAGAAGACAAGTAATCACACACAACAAGCATAGAATGGATGGCGGTCGCGTTGACAAGACAGAAAAATTCAGTTGAAAAGTCGGGTGGAGGTGCTTGTTGCGGAGGGCTCGATCAAGGAGTAACACCTCTTTAGTTGAGGTTTTCAGGTATGCAACATTTTTTTTGATTCCTAAAAAAAATCTTTTCAAAAACTAGAATAAATTTGCTTTCAATTTGTCAAAATTCCAATCGAGTGCACGAGGTTTTTGCTCGAGTGCACGGATGTTGAAAGTCTGTTAGTGTGCTAACTACCAGGCGGATTCCTTTGTTGAGATCCATCGGAGTATCGTGTAAACCATAAATTTTAACCATACTTTGTGGCCGGGCAATTTAAAGTAAAATGACAATTATTTATCGGACCTTTATAAGCCTACATTGTGAATTTCAGATCAGGCCAACGGCATGGATGAACACATTCAGTATCTGCCTTGAGGAGAAAAACAAGGAGTCAAAAGTGTGGTAGCATGGCACCATGACTGCATTGGATTGGCTGAGGATTTTCAGAAATCTTGGGAATCTTAGCAAGGTATAGTGTATGCAAAGATTTGTTTGTTTCACTTTTTGGTGTATTTTGAAACAGGCACAAATGATATACATGTACTTAATTTATAGTTACTTCAACATTCAAAAGCTATTAAAGAAGGGCAAAAAATATCTTTGTAGTTCATTACCTTTTGTACATAACATTGTGAATCATTGCTAAGAGTTAGTAAAAGCATTTATCTCCAGGTTACTTGGTTTTCTTCTCTCCTAAAATCCTAAAAATTTTTAAACACAAATTTGGTCTGATTCAGAATACCTGCTTGAAACTATCTGTGAGTAGTTTGGATTCCTCTTTAAATACCTCATTTATTTTATTTATATTTAGGTGAGAAATTGGCTTTTCTCCCTGCTTGGATTGCATAATCCCAAGGATGAAGCATTGGACTCAAGAAGAAAGCATGATTTTGTAGATGAAGTGCTAGCATGGCGCATAAAGTTACTAAAAGAGAAGTAAATGACACAATACATTTTAGTATAAGCTATTCAGCTCCAGTATGTAATAGTAGTGGTGTAAATTAAAGAGCAATTCTCAATGCAATAGTTGGTTCAATAAGTTTATTTCACTGCTTTTCCTTCAAAGGTATTTGCAAGGAGGGTTGTCAAATGTTGTAACATCCTTGGAAGGCCCTGAACTGGACAGTGATTTGAAAAATTATGAGGAAATTCTTAGAAGGAACAGAAGCAACTTGCTTCATACACACTTCATTGATGGCAAAAAAAGAGCAGATACCCAGTTGCAAGTGCTATATGTAACTACAGAAGACAGAGCTTTGGCAGAAGACATAAGGAATGCATCCAAAGATGAAATCTTCAGGAGAATAGCTGAAAAGCTTCTGCTGCTCACTGATGAGGAGACAAGGGAGCCTCTGTCAAGCAGATTTGGAGCTATCAAAGCACAGCCCAGCAAAGTTAAAAAGGAAACTCTTGTTTTGTTGTACAATGAGATTGTGGAAGAGCTACAGAACCAAGAGACACAGGAAGAGGTGTGTATCCTTGACACCATTGAGGAAGATAGAGAAGCTGATTGCAGCACGAACTGATTTATTTCTATGTCAGTTAATGTTAGTTGACATTTACGTGTAGGTCTGGTACAATTTCATATTTATTTTATTGTACCCCATGAAAACCCTGGGTAAGATTGTTTGTAAGGTGAATTTCAATGCCCAAGCTCTGCCACTGATTTTACAGTGGTAAGTCAACAGTGCACTGATTTGAATAATAAGGATTTGGTAAGATTGTTCCTTTTCACATAACTGTAGGTGACTCAAAATCTAACTGGCTAGGTAATGTAGCAGTTTTCAGTTTTTGACAGAGTTAAATTAGAAACTCTGCGAGCTGGCAATTTCAGGAAACCCAGTATTTGTGAGAGTATGAGACATGAGAAAACATTTTAAGGGTTGGTTTCATGTAGAAAAGGAGAAAACAAAGAACAAAATTTTACTTGTGCTTTTCTTGTGCTACCATCTATATGCATATAATGTACAAACAGTACATGGCTGTATTTCATGCAAATAGGTTTAAATATACATCCTGTAAGAGGTGTAATTTTTAATGTCAAGAATTAAGGAAAGCATAAAAAAATACTTAGTAGGCTCAGATGTAAATAATAATTATATTAAATGTAAATCGTGTACAAAAGACATTTCATGTGCTCAGTATTATTTTCAATATTTTGCGGTGTGGTATTTATAATATAATATAATAATTCTGACCTAATTAAATTGATTGATTTTATTGACTTGATTATTAAAAACAGGAACCTTTCTTATAAAGTCTTCAACATCACGTGTGGCATGAATTCCAGGGGTTTATCCTGGGGCTCGGGTTGGAGAATAAATTGCAACCCCTATGTTTATAAAACAAGAAAGAAAAATGCTACAGTTGAAAGTTCAATATACATGTGCATCACCTATCCCCAAACGTCCACCCCTAATGTTATTAACAGTTTATGACAGTGTTTTCATCGGAGACAAAGGTGATTTTGCTTTGTAGCTGGATTGGGGGCACATCGCTTCTCTCCTTGTCATTTAGATGCGGTTTTGGCTTGTTTAGAATTAACTCCTGAACTGGAACGGGTACCACAGCTTCTGAAGATCTATACGACAACCGTCTTCTAGATTGGGTATTGTTTTCAATGTCCCTAGTTTCATGCCCCAGTACTTTAGCCAGCCTTGGATCTAGACTGACACCCTCTGGTGTTTTGTCTAGTGGTTCAACGCTGGGGATTTCTGAGTTCCTGGGATCCGCCATAGTTACGCCATCATAATTGTGGTCTGCTTGTGCAGGGCGAAGTAGACCCTTATTGTAAGTATCCAGAATAGCGTCCGAACCACATACAAATCGTTGTCCGTTGTGTTGGTCAATTATCATGAGTACTTCTGCTTTTGTCATGGTATGAAGCTTCAAGCCTTTGCTGAACAGCGTGGATTTCCGCTTGTACAATGTACACGACCTGGCGTGGGATTTTTCCACATAAGCGATTTTTTCTTTCGTCCGACGTGACATTTTTTTGCCTACTGCCCAATTCTGTGAGGGCTCTCTGAAAAAAATAAGGCATCTCACTCCTTACAAACGAATGAATGTAAAAATGCGCGGGAAACGAAAATCAAAGGCGCCAAAGAAAAATTCAGAAGTGAAATTACAGTACTTACTTCAATGCATTATTCACCTCGTTAGACGGACCATCGTTGTTCATATTGCACTTAAGCCAAGGCGGATGCACACTAAAAAATAATTCCAGGAAATCACGGATCTTACACATAAACGTGGTTATCCAGCGAGTAAGTTCTCCTTCTGGCAAACAAAGAGGTATTTGTTCACTGGACTCTCACATCTTTAGGTATCGCATCCGGGAAATGTGCAATAAGAGCGGCATGAAGATGAAAATAAAAAATCACATTGGTGGAAAGCCTTGCTGAAGTGTCTCTTCTGACAGCGTTCCGGAAACAAAGGTGTTAGTTTAACTACACGAACTGATGAGAGTGAAATTTACGTCTACAACCACGAGGGACTTATCTGTAATTGCGAAACTCGTTTAAAAATACCGCACGTGCTTTCACATTTTGTAGTGATGGACCTATACAAAATTTCTATACAGGGTGTTCAAATCAAAGGGTAAGTGTAAAGGATATATTATTGCTGACTAATAGCTATAGGACCGATTTTGTAGTGTTCTGAGACCTAGATTCTCCCGCGAATCGATCGATATCTATGGTTCTCTTGCATTTAATTCCATCATGGATATTCGTCTTAAAATAGATTGTGACTACTTGCTTTTATTTCATCCCACTTATGTGTTTGTTGGCGTTTATTTTCCAGGTATCATCATTTCAAGATCAAAGCTCCACGTGGAACACCGCTTGTTGTTCAAACTGAAGACAACAACAAGTATGACCCGCATGCACTGGCTTGTCTTCTTCCACGAGAAATGGAACGCATTCCAGAAGCTCTACGAGAAGTCCAGATTTTCAGCAAATCGCAGAGGAAGAAATACACCTTAGAAGATGTCAAAGGGCAGCAGATCGGCAGGATTCAGCACTTCCTAAACGTACAGCTGCATGGTTTGCTCCGATGTGGCAAAATAACCAGGATTGAAGGGTAAGTTACTGTTTTCTTGCCTTACTGTTACTTTTTTGTAAAGGCTTGATGGACTGAAATTGATATATGTCTATTTAAAAAATCGGAGAGAAGCAAGATAGTGTCTTTCCTCGATCTATACTGGAGACAAATGAAATTGTCCCGATTCCGCGATCTCACACCTTTCTCGTCCCTATTGTTATCAGTGCGCGTTATTTGGTTCAGCCTTATTAATTTGGTTTTCTTGTAACCCAAAATAGGGAAATCAACGGAGAACCGACGATAACATCGAGGCCAAGCTCTACCCAGAAGTTCTCCAGATACAAACAGGCTGGCGGAGGAGCTTTTATTCCCGCGACGCTCTTGGTGGAAGGACCACAGCGTTACAAAGAATTTGTGCTGGAAAGAATCCGCTGTACTCTACCAGAATGCGAGAATGTCCAAGACATGCATGTTGAATGTTTCAAATAAATGAATATGTTTAATGTTATCTTACGTCCAGTCTTTATTAGCGAATTTTGTTTCGGCTTACTACCGCATTACAACATGGCCGCCACAAAAAAAAATAATCACCTTCTTCTCGTTTCCAGTACCTCTCGGCCAAATTTGCTTTGTTTTGGTTTTGATCTCACCCAATCACAAAGCTCGAAACCGACATCCAGAAATGGATATGGCCCGGACTGTCCGCACCGAACATGTCAAAGTTATCAAAAAGCTGTCAAATTCGGCTAACTTCTGGATCTTGTGCGGCCACTTTCACAGCTTCATTTTTAGTCTGATGAAGCGGCGACTGGAAAATTACTCCACTGTTGTATGTTGCCCCGGCTGAATGAAAATTGTTTCCTTGTTGGTCTTCATGGGAAGGTACATTCCAGCGCATGATCTGCTCAAATGACTGGTCGCTATAGTTCGCCAATGGATTAAAACTCCAATTACCGGGATTCATCTTAAGTTAAAGTTGTAAAATCTGCGAGACAATTACTGCAATTATTTGGTGAACTGAAACCAGTTCATTTACCGCACTAATGGTAGCGTTTACTTCAAATGATAGCCAAGTTCATCCCGCTTTGCTTTATTTAGAAGATTTTTCCATGCTTTACCCGGGACAAATTTTGTCGGCGATGCGATTGAAAATTTGTCCGCTTCGGCAAAAAATTGTCAAGTCGCGACAAACCATCCGCACTTGTAAAGAGTTGGGTGATGACAGAAAATTTGTCTAAATAGACAATTTTGTTGCCAGTGCGGATAGGCCCTTTCCTCATAAAAATGGCTGGTTCCTCTTGTAAGCCAATAACAATATACGGCACATAGAGAAAACAGTGTGTATATACCCCTGAACGATGAAAATATATCAAGTGGAATGAACAGTTTTGATCTCGGTTCGCATTTTTGTCAATGAAATGAACACATGTCGGTTAAAGAGATGAAACTTACGGGCCACGTGCAAAGCTGTCAATTGTTTCTTGGATATTGCACATGTTAAATATTCATATAGTGACATCTCATTTGCATCTACATCTACATCTACATCTACATCTACATTTATTAAGTCGGTAAAATCTGTACAGACATCACACCAAGCAACTTGCGCACAAAGTGAGAAGACTATATGAAGGCTTGAAATTATATTAAGAACGATTGTGATCAAGAAACGGCCAAGGAATATTCCACAATAGTGCAAATAACGGTGAAAGATGATCGAGGAAAAGCGATTGGTAAGTTGTAAGATGACATGTTACACGTATTAGACAAAAATTAGTAAAAATTCTCAGTCTGCTTTTTTTACTGAACGGATTGGTATTGCTGTGTTTGTTCGAGCAAGCCTCAAGTCTGGACCGAAATATTGGAGTTCGAAAAAAAAAAAAATTAGTGAGACTATCTTAGCCGCAATGATTGATGAGTGGACTGTATGTTGAAGAGCTCCCGAGGAGAAAAGCACAGTGATAGAGCAACGATTACATTATACTAACTGAAGACGAACGCAAATGTGCGGTTTATGCTCTTCCTCGTAGTCACAGCGTGGGTTGAAATGAACCCGCTACGAGTTAGTTAGTGAGAGCAAGTGGTACTACGAGCTAGTGACACTATGAGCTTGTGACACTACGAGCTAGTGAGACTATCTTAGCCGCTATGATTGATGAGTGAACTGTATGTTGAAGAGCTCCCGAGGAAAAGCACAATGATAGAGCAATGATTACTTTATACCAACTGAAGACGAACGCAAATGCGTGGCTTACCAATATGGCTGCATGCCTCTGATGCTCTTTTTCGTGGTCACAGAAAGGTGTTGAAATGAACCCGCTACGAGCTTCATCGAAATTAATTTTGACTTTCACCAAGTGGGGAGGGGTAGCAAGCTCGACTACATTCGTTCACGGTCTACAATGCAACTTCGGTCTATGGAATACAAGTTCCGTCGACATCTGCTTCAGCTTCACCACAACACCTCATTCAATGCTTCCAGCATGAGTGAACTAAAAATGAGATAAGCTAGTGGCCTATTTATAAGAAACAAAATGGCTTTTCTTGCCATCGATGAACCATTTGGAATATGTATAATTTACAAAAATGATTCATTCATCGTCATTTCGTTATTACGGTCGCCAAACGAAAGCACGCGCATGATGGATAAAACCTGGACTGGTCAACTTTTTGCTTATAGGAAAAACAAGCATGTTTACCGCCGTCGACATTTCAGGCGACACGGTTTTGAAAGGCAATATTAGTCAATATTCAGATCTTTTAATCTTAATGAATGGACAGTGAATCCTTAAGTTTCAATGTTGGCGTGTATTCTCACTTTTGACTCGCCATTAAAAACATTTTATCTTACATTTATCAACGAGGCAAATTGTATATTATTATTATAATCATTTTTCATATTTCTTTTTTCGTGCACTCTTAGAGCTCATTGAATTAAACAAGTCAACCGGCAATACTTATTCGTCTGTCAATAAATAAACATGCGGTTAATCTTCCACAAACTCCTTCCACGATGCATAAATTTCGTTGATCGTGACTTTTGCCTCGTATCGTGATGACAATAGTAATGGTATTACCTGAATCGAAAGGAAACGAAGAAAGATGTCGCTATAAAATGTTACGAAGGATTCAAGAGGAAAGAACTGTTTCAGATCTGTAAATGTTAAACTGCAAGAAATTTTAATTTTTTTCAAATTACTCCTAGTGATTGTTCGTTATTTTCGTTCATTATAAGAGTACATAGTTTCCTTTGGTGGGCTGCCCTACTTCTTCAAGTTCACGACCCCCAAGTTTCACCCTGACATCTCTTTTTTAATGATAAGCAATGTGGAAGTAGCTTCACTATCTCATTGCAGGAGGTCACTATAACACGGGAAAAGGGGATATTTATTGCAACGTATTTTTTCCTTACAGGTCCTGCGCCAGAGTTAATAGGAGTTCCTCAGAACCAAAGCACTGATATAGGGGCCAATGTAACTTTCAGCTGCACCGCCACAGGTCTACCTAGGCCAAACATCTCGTGGATCAAAAACAGTGATTCATTTGCCTTACAATCCAACCCAAGGGTGACATTCATTAACGATCCACTGGACGACACTGAAACCATGCAAAGCTAGTTGTTTATTACAAGAGTGAAGAGAGACGATTTTAGCGAATATCAATGTGAGGCCAAAAACGGTGGTGGTAAAAATTTGTTGTTGCCAGCTTTCTTAACCCCAAAAGTTTCAGGTTAGACATGCATATGCATTAGTGTTTGTTTTCCTTATCATTTCAAAGTTGAAAATCCACGAAGTCTTTCACCTGCATGCATGCCAACTCAGCCTCCTTATTGAAATTCCCCCAATACCATGCAAGCGACATAAGCTCGGTTTTTGGATGATTGCCTCTTGGTGTACATTTCCGTAGATTATAAAGAAACTCTCTATGTCACCAGAGTATTAAGAAAAAATAAGCAGTGTTTTCTGTAAAATATTTATACAAAATTTTGAAGTTGTCATTTCCCTTTCACCCGGTCCCTGTGTCTCCTCAGTCTTTTTATCATCAAGACTCCCCTTAAAGTTTAATTCTCTTCAAATCGGGTATTTCGAGCAAAAGCCTTGGGCCCCGCCATCCCAAAGAAAGATCACAAATGAGACAATTCGTAACGTCTCATTCATTCATATTAATTCTTTTTGTGTCAATTTGCAGATGCCCAGAAACCTGCGATCGTTGAAGGTCCAAAGAACCAAAGTGTCCTGATCGGTTCCGATGCTACCTTAAGCTGCACTGCTAGGGGTCTCTCGAGGCCAACAATCCACTGGATAAAGGACAATGCTTCATATCCTTTACAGTCTAACTCCAGAGCACGTGTCATTCCAGACGGGCGAACCAATCGCAGCCACCTTTTCATAACGAGAGTACAGATGGAAGGCTTTGGAAAATATCAATGTATTACAAATAATAGCATTGGAAGGAGCCAATCAGGAGTGGCTGTCTTAAACATAGGTTAGATATTTTTTTTAAATGGAAGGGGAAAAAGGAGGGTGAGAGGGGTCCTTCTTAACTACATGCGCTTTTCCAAAGAACAATTTGTTTGTTACCACATTTTTTTTTTATTATTTATCTACAGCAACTCCAACTCCCACCCACAAGAATGGAGAGCCAGAAAATTCAGCTTCTCAGACAACTATAGTCGCTGTATCATGCACTTTGGTAGCTGTAGGCCACTAGGCAGGATCTTTAACATCGCAACAAATGTAAGTTTTGTATCATGTAGTTTTCTTCGTTGTTCTCGTTGTAGCTTTCCTTGTGTATTTAGTCTAGTTTATATTGTAATAGTTTTCGTTCGCTGTTTTATTTGCAGTTTTAACCGTACCGTGTACCGTTCGCGTTTAATATTGTTAGAATTAGTTAATATAAATCGCCAGTGGCAGTTACAGCTTGTTCACATTAATCTATCTTTTCAACAGGGCAAGGTTCCGTGGAGATGGTCGTCGTTAGAATATCTACTAGATCTGCATTTTACATCCATGAGTGATGTGTAAGTTTCATTTTGTATTTAATACTGTCAGATCTCTGTCTCTTGACTTCGAGTCGGAAGTATTGCCTAGTGGAAAGGATTTCCAAAAAACACATCTGCCTTACGCTCTGGTATATCCCTTGGAGCATTATTGTGGTCATATCTGGACTTCCTTTTACGTTGTTTGTTCGTCTTCATGTACATGTACATGCATGGTGTATCTATACCTATTTGCATTTATGGACACACCATGAGAACTTAGTGTGACTTAAGTAATTCCTTCCTTCAAATCGAGCATCATATGCACATATCACCTGATTGAAATTTATACCAGAGGCAAGGTCCACATAAAAGGAAAGACTCAACGAAGTTTTGAGTGATGTAAATATCCATTAAACATTAAAAGAATACAACGAGACTCGATCTTTAATCAATTCAGCGCTAATAGTTCGAATTCTTTTTTCATTGAAGTTATTAACCCTTTCACTCCCAAGATCTCACTGTTAATT